ACAGCAACTAACCTAGCAGTCATGGTATTGGACCTCTGGAGGAAGTTAGAGTACTCGGAGAGAACCCATACATGCCTGTGGAGAACATGCAAACTCCATGCAGAAAGACATTGCACCAGGAATCAAACCCAGCACCTTCATCATCATCAAATGCACTAAATGGGTTCTGTTTTTGTTTTGATTTCCTGACTCTTAGCAAACATTTAATCATTAAGCAACAACAGTTACTAAATTAACATTCAATATTTCCATTGTTAGTTGATGTTTTCTAAGGCATAATTCAGCAGGTTTCTAATAATACTCCTACTCCAGTAGGTTTGAAAGAGTAAGAGTTTGTTTTTTAAAAAGGATTTATTATCTACTAAATAACTGGACATTACACTGACTTCATTTAACAAAAATATCAGACAAAGATATAAAGTTTTGGGCAAATTATAAAAAAGATTATTTACATACTATATTTAAATTTATATACATATATTTTTCATCAGTAAAATGAATATGGTCCTTCTGGACCACTTAGACATCCTGGGGATATTATCTTATATAACATGTCGTGTACAACACTATGGCATCAGAACTGCCATCCGAGTGTCAAGGTATGGCCAAACAGAGTTACTTTCTCAACAGAGCATTGTGGGTTTTGCCATAATGTTTCGCTTTATATATAAAACTTTATTAGAAATTGTGTCAGGTTGATTTCAATTGAGACATTTGTGTGGTCATTAAGCCACAGATAATATTAGCAGATTTTGTATGAACTTTAAATATTCCAAGATAAGATGATGTCACTGTCTAATATCAACTTGATCCTTTCAGAGTAAATCATACCCTTACATTTCAGTCTGTTGCTCACATAAAGGCTTCCTTTTAGGCCTTATCACATCAGATAAAAGCTGTTAAGACTTGAGTCTTGGACCTGTGCTTGTATTCATTACGATTCTCTCAGAGAGTTCCTATCTTAACCTTTAAATTCCTGCCAAGGAGTTGAAGCTTAAGAGTGATTCAGCTAGTTTCTGAGAGCAACTCTGAGCAAAGACTTGACAGAATTTCTTATCAGTTACATGTGGTTGACCACGTTGTTAGGTGTGACGTTGTCTTCTTACAGCTGTAGAAAACAATAGATTTTAGCATTCAGTCATGTATTTGGTAATTATTCTCATAATGCTGAAATTTAGCTAAATTCAATTATCAGAGAGCATCCAACTTGTTATATTGTTATATTACTCGCCATATTTGTGATTTTACCAGATTATATATCTTAAGTTAATGTGGACTCACCAGCATTGCACTGAGACTGCCAGCTTCTTTATGGCTGTTTGGAAAACAACCATAAAATGGAGAAAAAAATTGAGAAAACCAGAGGAGCAGCACACAGTCCACACAGCTCTATGAGGAAAATAGAGGAGCGTTGTTAGGTTTATTCTTTTATACATCATGTGCATTGTTATTTTGTTAGTCAGATTAGACAGGGTAGAAGGCCTCCCTTCACATTGTGGATGTCACTGTGTGTACTGAGGTCATCTAAATAGGACAGCCTTCTTGTCTTTTAAAGATACACAGGATATGGGCACATCTTGGAGCCGGACTGATAGAGGAGATGTATCTGTAATCTTGGACATAGAGGCAAGATGCATACAGTTCAGGGCATGGATTGCATGTCAGTTTTTGATACGGACAGCTAAACATCCACATGATCCAACACATAGACTCATGAGCTATAAGAAGGAGAAGATTACAGTACCTTGTCCGGGGCTCAATCTTTGCCGGACGCTCGCGGACGTGATTTTTGAGACCACAGCTGTGCAAGCTCCAAGCATTTTCTCTATCCTGTAACGACCTGATCTGGAATAAACTCTGTTACTTTTTCACTCCTGTTTTTATAGTCCTTTTTACATGGTTTTACCCAATTTCAGTTAAGAGTAGTAAGTAACTTGCTCCCAGGAAAAGAACCGGAAGGAAGTCCCGAGGCGCAACTACCTTCAAGGAGACATAACTTCCACCTTTAACAGCGTTAAATGGTAAACTGGTCCTAGATCACAGTATTAAGGTGTTCAATCAAAGGCCCATTGCAGTGCATATGTACAGTATCTGTTTTTCTGCCATTATGCATAAACCTTGAAAGTGATAAGCAGGAGATGGCAGCATACAAGTGAATTTAAAGATTAACATTCAGGATATGGATTCTGATATTATCATGTGCAATACAGCAAACCTTTTCACTTTTATACATTCTATGTAGGTTAGAGTGTATAATTTGTGTACTTTCTCTTATTTTATTCAGATTTATGTGTAGATATTGTTTTTGCAACAACTGTATTAACTATGGAGAACCAGAAGTGTGGGTTGGGAGAACTGATCTGTTAGCAAACTCACAGTATCCATCTTTTAACCATTTGAAAACTGATTTGACATTGTAGTTAGGGATTTGAAAGTAGTCCTTGTTCCTTACTGTATCCTCTCTTATTATGGCACAACTTAATGATACCACTGCCCTGCATGAATCGTTTTATTCCTCCAAGCATAGTAACTGACAAACTTTCAGTTTGTCCCTTCAGTTCCCTCAATCTCCTCAGGCTTCTATGCCGTACTCTGTTGGAGTTTACCCCAGTGGATGAGAAAGTCACATCACATCGCCTTCTGGTAGGGGGGAGATCTCTGACTGTTGTTTCGACCTACGGGCTGAACAGCAGTACAGAGTACCAGGCCTTCTTAGCACCCCTGGGGGGGTGTTGGATAGCGCCCTCTCCTGGGAATTCCATTATTTCCCTGGGAGTCTTTAACACCCATGTCAGAAACTATAATGATGCCTGGAGGGATGTGATCTGGAGGAACAGACCCTCAACTCAGAACCTGATTGGTGTTTCATTGTTGGACCTATATGTAAGTCACGGATTGTCCATAATGAAGTCCATGTTTGAGTATAAGGATGTCTGTAGTGCACCTTAACACCCTAAGCCAGAGTTCAAAGATTGACTTTTGGAGTCATATCTTCTGACCTTTGGCCACTTGGGTGAAGAGAGGGCCGGAGCTGTCCATGTGTCAAGCATAAACCAGGCTATTGTCACAGTAAAAGCTAAGCTCATAGCTACAGTATATCTAGGAGAGAAAAAGTATTAAACACTAAAAAACAGGCCAAACTATTATCAATAAGTGAAATTGTTGCTCCAGTCAACAATTTCACTTATGGATAACTGAAATTGTTGACTGGAGCAACCCATGTGATGTCTCTTTCCGTGATGGTGTTACAGCTAAACTGAGTAACTTGCCAGATGTACTTACTATGACGTGAAAAAGCATATAGAACATGAAGTTAAAAGCATAACTAATGATGCAAAGTTGGAGAGTAGAGGTATAATGAGGCAGGAAGAAAAGAGGTCACTATGTCCTCCAGCAGCCTAAGCCTATGACAGCATATCTAAAAAGTGTGCTGATGATAACCTGACCCACCCTAACTATTAATAAAGGTGATACTGGAAATACTGGTTCATTGAAAGGAAAAGGCTGATCAGTTTTTAACAGTGAGATAGTAAGTAGGATGTACGTTCATGGACGTTTTAAAAGGAAAGTTTTAAGAAAGTTATATTATAAAAGATAAACTTATATTCAGCCATCTGGGGAGTCCAAGAGTCCTGATTGAGGGAAAGCAGAAACGAGAGAGAAAATTAATTTGGTTGTAAGTAAGTAGTAAGTGTTTTTTTTTTTTTTTTTTTTGTTTGTTTGTTTAGTTTTTACTGTATCAATGTTTACTTGAAGTAAAAAAAAAAACAGAGAAATTACATAGTAAGAAATATTGTTCAGCAGCACAACTAGCGGCCAAACATGCATTTCTATTTTTTTCATTTCTCATCTGACTGTTCTATTTCTATTATTGCTGTGGTCTCTGAAACGACACTCTTGTCGCAGACTTTTAGTTGCAAATATGAACCTGAACATGTGCCAATACACCAACAAAACTAGGAGGAGTTAGATTATCTTCCATTGAATCTTTACTGTAAGATGTTTATGTAATACCGACACATTTTTACATAATGTAATACACTTTTACATTTTGTACATCAAGTCATTTTTTTGTATAACTAAAACATCTAATATTTTACTAAGGAGCTTTTACTTTAAACTAATTTTTTTTTTTTGTATTTTTATGAGAAATGTGTCTAACAGCTGCTGTTGGTTGTTTTTCACACCTTTGTGATCATAAAGACATACGAGTTTGCTGCCAACCTGCAGTCAAGTGACAGGAAACTTAAACAGGGCATCCTCTTATCATGCGGTTTTTACACCACCAAAATAACAAGCTTATGCTGCCTTGCACTGAACTTCCCTCTCTGCACTCACTGTCAGAACGTATTTTTGCCTCTTCGTCCTGCAGACTGACTGACTATCAAAAAAGGTGCACACGTTCTTTTGAGTCACCAAGTATTCTTGTCCAAAGTATGTCTATTATGGAAGTTTTGAGTATGTTATCTTGTGACTTACTTTCCAGCAAATATATCTTGCAAATTATTAGATGCATGAACATTTCCCTCTAGGATTGGCCTTTTGGAGTGGTAACTCGTAGCCACAGTGGTTTGCAGCTGCACAGCCGTTGCAGTTTCCAAACCTGTCATCTTTGAGTGTCTTTCACTTCCACACTTCACATGTGCTCACTATGAATATATTTCAAAATCCTGACCTTAAAACTGTAAGCCTAAGATTGCTGTTTGGTCTGACTCGTAGGAATACATTGAGTAATATATCACCAGCCAAACAAAGTCATAGAGCTTTTATTTGACTAAAATTTTTAATTTTAAGCAAGTTACCCTTTAAACGTTCTCTTATAAGTTGGAGTTACACTCGTAGTTACATCTACAAACTGTAAAGTGTGTAAGTACAGTTTTTTAAGGAAGCTCTATGCATGCAATCCTGACTAATGCGTGTAATCAACCCAGTAGCCCTTTTGAGGTCCTGAGCAGCAGAAGGAGGGTTTGCCTTTTTGGTTTCAATGCACCCATGTGACTTCCTGACGTGCACTTCACTCTTCTGCAGCAGAGTGCACCTCAGCCCTCTTTTCTTTCTCTCCAGCTCCGGCTTGTGACACCATAGGAACAGATATCCTTAAGTCACTAAACACCCTGAAGTCCTCTAATAGGTGTCTTGTCTGGAGAGTTAAGTGGATCACAGAAGAAGAAGAGGAAGAAGATGCTGAGGCGAAGACCATCAAACGCCTCGGAGAAGGAGCAGACTCAGAAGAAGAAGGTGAGGTTCTAATTATGACCTTTACTTTTGGAAAGTTAAAACAGAGCATGGCTGATGTAATCAAAGTCAAACTTTACTACCTTGTTAAAAACAAAACTTTATCATACTTTTTTCATCTTTACACATGGGTTTTAAAGAGAGGATGTTTGCTCAGGGTAGTGCAGAGTTCTGCGGTCAACCTAAAAAAAAAAAAGAAACACAGATCTTTTAAAACCGCTCATTTGTTTATTTAAAATGGACGATTTTCTTTATTTTCTAACTACCCATTGCAGCTTTTTTTTTGTTACAGTAGTTCCTCTATTATGGCCCTGGTGATTCATTGCAGATGCAGATTGAGTCAGAAAAAGCTCTGTGGCTTCTGCTGGCTTCATCTTCAGCTGTCACCAACTCAGCAAGCCTCCCACACTTAACACCAGTGCCCCTATTTTCCATCCTCAGCTCTTCTCCTGCGGTCTGATTGACAACTTGTCACTACACATCTCAACGCCTTTATTCTCGGAAAGCTTTTTCATACACAGTCATGACAGGGAGCCATAGCGGCTGGAGAACCTCATCTCTGTGGCTTGACTTTATAGAGATATTCAGTTTATTTGACTGTGTTGCAGTAAAGCCAGAGATGTTAAAGGTCATTGGGTTTGTCTGAGTTCACCGTTGGGTTTAATTCTACAGTTCTTTAACTCGGCAGACATCGAAAGCAAGTCTGCAATGATTGGCTGGCAAGGGTTGCTAAATCTTTGCCCATTTCCTGTGGTTTCAGCAAAGAGAGACAGAAGGATGAGCTGCGATAAGATTTTTTTTAAGCTTCGACGGAATTTTAGACAAAGAACTTCCGGCACAGCTAGAAGAAGCTCTGCTTGTGGAAAATTATGCAAAGGAGTAAAAATCGCAGCGATTTGGGTTAACATCAGGCTCTTATTGAAACCTTTTTGGCTGATATTTTTAGGACATGTACAAACACAAACAGACAAACATGGATGATGACAAAAGAAGAAGAAAGGTACTGCCTATATTCTAACATCTTAAACAAGACATGGTGGGGATCATATCTCGAAAAGTTTGTCCCTAAAATTTGAAGTCATTTTGTTACTTTTATTACAAACAGTTCCTTACAGACGTGCTTCTTGAGCCCTTTGTTCCTTTACAGTCACAAACATAAATGTATTCTACTAAGATTTTTTTGGGAAACTAGCAAGGAAAACTCAGTGATAGACTGGCTGGAAAAGGCCTGGCTAATAGAATTCAATGCAATTCAAAACTTAAGCCACACGTCCCTTTACTGAAATAAAGTCCACCATTAAATTTAGTAGTTTTGCTTTTTGTTTTTTCACATGCAGAATGCAATGTGTGCACCATACCTATGAATATGCAATTGTTACCATCAGCCATGGTGTATGCTGAATCATTCTGCGGGGTTCCATTTCAGCAGATGCTTTTTACTGATTGTGGTTAATTTTGTGTCTATCAGAGTCAAATTGGAAGCAGTGACCAACTGGTGTAAAAAGGCAACAGTAATGATCATTCTAATAGCTTAAAAAAGACATTCAAAAGCAAATCCACCTTTTATAGTCAACTAATTGCTAAACAGTCAAACTACTAGTAATTTGATATCAAAGACTGTGATGTGCTAGAAAACATTAGTGAATAGAGAAACAGCAGACTGTTCAGGCATTAAAGTGAAAAGCCTCTAAAAGTGCCACAATATCTCTTGAGGAGCCGCTGGCATCAAAAGCTCCTGCGTTAACGACTATTATGCTGCATTCAGACCAGTCAGCTTAATACACAGGTCTGGCAATATTGGGTGCCAAAAAGAGAGGAACGAAAAGAAATCAATTAGAAGATCTTTTTGGCAGGTTCCTAAAGATGTGTATGGGACGCTGCAGGACATGTGGGAGAAGGCGTCCCCAAACAACACCCCATAGGAAAGGGAGGTGGCAGCACTGAGGATAAAACATGGTTGGAGCTATATTTGGGGAAATCCTGGGAAAAAGTATTTTTCCCTGCTGCCACACACCTTGCTTGAATGATTGGCTTATTGAAGCTTCTGCAACACTTGGTGGCTTCTAAAAACTATGCGATCATCACATCAGGTGTGCAGGAGCAGAGACACATCTACAGTAAAACTTGGACAGCGTGTCCTGAGGACCAGGGTTTGTAAAAACTAGTGTACATCAAGGAATATCCATTTGTTAAAATGGCAAAGACAAACTTAAATCAGATTTAAATTTGGTAGGGAGTTGGAACTGATTGTTTTGGGAGGCTTTTCACCAAGTCCTTTAGTGCTTGGGGTTTTTTGCAAAGGAGGATAATGGAACATTTCAGTTTGCAGATGTGCAATGCCAAAACATTTTGTTAAATGTGATCTAGAAAGTTAATAAACTGACTCATGAAGCTTCACTACAAATGTGCACCATCCATTTAGAGGTCATTTGTAAAAAATTATTTGAAACCTCTGGATCAATGCATTACAGTTACACTTTCAGTTTACAGTTTGGTAAAAGGTGAACATGTCAGAAGGGTTTTCACACATTTTCTGAGCTTTCTGGTCTCCCTATATGGCTTTAGTATCTTTAAAGTTTAGGCTTATGAGTTCACAGGTTTCTTCCAAGGCCCTCTGTTACTCAAGCTCCCTCGTCTACAGTACTTCCTGTATTATGTTTACGTAGATATTAGTCACAGGTAAATTTGCCATTTTTTCAGGACACATATGTCTTTTTGTTCCAAAATAATAAAAAAAAAAAAAAAAAAATTTTATCTTGAGAGAATCCATTAGCAGATTAATTCTGCTCATCCTTCATATCAGATAGAGCACATGGTGTGCACACTTTGGTGTCACCAGCAGTGTAATTTTAAAATTCCACCCAAAAACAATCAAGCCCCAACAGTCACTTAACTCCCGAATTTGTCTATCATTGTTGCAGTTTGTGCTTTTTCTTTATTCCCTTTTCAATGTTTTGCAGCTCACCTTGCAGAGGTCCAGCAGCTTCAAGGATTTTATGAAACACAAGCCCACCTCCCCCAATGTGCAAGATAAGGAGTTCACCCTGGACGACCACGTGAGTTAGACGCCCAAAACCAGCACAAAACATAAGAGTGGAAAAGTAGAAGTAAATGTTTTTATCTTTGTATGCAAGTTCCTGAATGATTGTTCCCATAGGTAATGTTCTCATAATGTTCCTCATTTGTTTTTATTTCACAAAGCCCTTGAAATTTACACCACATCCCAGAGAGAGCCCCCCTGCTGACAGTTGTGGCTGTTACTAAACGAAATGTCGTGTTTGAGCTTCCCTTTTTAAAAGAGAGGAGCTCTATATTGAATGTAAAGCTCAGAGAATGGGTTAATCACTTCTCGGAAGCGTTGAGTGAGTTAGAGGACAGAGTGCAGAAGTACAGAAAAAGAGAGGAAGTAAGAAGGAGAAGCAGCACGGTGCAGATGACAGCAGCGAGCAGACAGGATGTCCTCTGGTGACAGCTAGTCAAGCAGAGCCTTTGCGTCAGACAGGCTGAGCAGAAGCAGAAAGCATTAACCCAGGAGTCTGATGGGCCTTAGCATTAACCCAGGAGTCTGATGGGCCTTTCTCTGGAGGTTAAACTGCACTTAAGACTCAGCGTTATCAGATTTTAATCCTATGAATTTATTCAGGCATGAGATCTGTGTGAGAATTTAATATTCACACTTTTCTTTTTGTCACTGCAGGAGCTTATCTTCACCCAGCAGGAAAACATGTAATTTTCTTAACTGAAGAATCAAGCACGTTTAAAACCACTCAGTTTAAAAATGATGAAGATTAGCTCCTGTGCTTCCTGCATGACAGAATTAATCATTGGCACTACAGGTTGTATCTGGTTCAAAGTTACAAGGAGACTAACAGCATTTCATGGAGTAAAGATAGAGCTGGCCTCCTGTTTACAGTGGTCATCAGCGCCCCATGAAGTCATCTGGGGTTTGATATTCAAACTCAAGGCCTATCCTGCATGATTTCCTAGTCCTTTTTCACGTTTCCTGTCTGAAACACAGTAAACAAAGGCTACACGTGCCTCCAAAACCTTTAAAAGGACCTAGATGAGAGGGACAGAAAGGGAGAAACAGGAGGGAACTGAGAATTAACTAAAAATAATGATGCCAAAAACAACATTCAAAATAAGTCTAAAATAAATTGAAGATTAAGAGCTAAATGTCTCTTTAGTAGCCATACAAACAGTGGGGATTTTTTAATAAAGGCCATGTGGTTCAGCACCTGGAGCCACAGCCTTTTAAGGGGTATTAGATAATGGCTAATTTGCTCCAATTTTCACCTAATTTCCTACCAACATGTTGCCAATTCCTCTTTACCTACTTTCACCATGTACCCAGAAACAAGCCATTTGTTTACCTATTTATAAGTTTGCATATTTGTTAAAGATGTTTATACTGAAGTATTTCCATGAATTATGGAGAAGAGTGATAATACAAATCCTAAAAAAGTGTAATATTCCTCTAAATCTCATCTTCTGAAACGTCCCATTTGGCAGTGATGCACCAATTTGTCCCAATATCAATATAACTGTAATGGCCAATAGCTGATATTTACTGATATCCTATATGGCATATTTTGGGATTTTTTGGACACCACGAAAAAGCGGCCTAACTGCTGGTAACGCTTCTTTGCTTCTGTTTTATACAACCCCAATCCTTGGCTACATCACAATCACCGTCACATGACAAAACAAACAAGACATGACCAATACCCTCGCTCCTCCTCCAGTATTAAAGGCCCAGGTTCACTTACCTGACTATCTTAAAAATGACAAATATTGGCTGATACTGATATTAAAACTGATATATCAGAAGAATTAAAAACAACCTCTATAAATACTTAAAAAAATTTTCTGGCCCATAAAGAGGTTTTGTTTTATTTGTTTAAATATAAAGGGAATAGAGGAGAGGGAGCCCGTATTATGTTCACAGTTTAAGCACTGTAAGAAAGTAGATGGCAGCTAATGAATGAAGCTGATGTGGGTGTCTTAATGGACGGTTCCAACAAGGCAAAAAGCTAAAGGGCATTTCAAAAGTTTAAAGGTATTTGGATTGCATTAATCAACATTTTATATAAGCTGACTGGAAGAATCCGATATTGATTTTACTAAAACAAACAGATTCTTTAAAAACCACAGGACATTTTTAAATCTTTATTCTGTTTGTGAAGCACAATAAGCCTGCTCTTCAAATTTGTCATCAGTTGAAATACGCTCTAATACAATTTTTTTTTTTTTTTAAGTACAGTTAATAGCAATAATATGTTAAATTGACAATTATTTTACAATTTATTTAAAAGATTTCTAAGGAATAATAAACTATGAAACCTAATTTGAGAAAATGTATTGATACACAATGATTTAAATACAAAGGTCCAGAAAAACATTACAAATGACAGAACGAAGGGATCAAATCGCTTTACCTTGATAGGAGAGGGAGGTAATTTAGCATGGCAGACCCATTACTGATATCAGGACTTCCTAAGCGGTCGTGAGAACAACAAATAGAGATTTTAAAGCTGAACTGGAAAATAAAATCACTGTTGAATAAAGATCTATTAAACAGTTTGTCACTTTAAAAACCTCTAGTAAAAATCTTTAAATGAAAATAGGGGAAGAAAGAGCATCTTGCCAAGGGCCCTATTTATTAAGGACCCTCTCTGGGATCAAATACAGTACATTCCTGCATTTCCTACCTGTTGCATGCTCCCTCTATGTGTGTGTGATTGCCGCTGCAAACTTTTACATATGTTTTGTGGGTGTTATCAAAGCCATTGACTAACTGCATAGTAAAACACTGAGAACATCAGTTTCTTTGAGGCAAAAGGCTGCAGGTGTTGCTCTGTGACTCTGTGGGTATTGAAACCTCATGACCACAAACATGCCTGGTTTCTAGATCGTGAGAATTAAACCAGTATTTGTTTGAGTTGTGAGCCATTCGACTAACTGTCTATTTCTTTGTCACGTTGGAAAACAACGGGTTTGTTTTCATTATATAAATAATGGGTTTTGTTTATCTCACTCCAGGAGGGGGAATGTGAAGAAGCAGTGAAAAGTGGCAGCAAACTGGGGAAAAAATGGCGCAATGTCATTTCTCGTACAATGACCCGCAAAACATCCAAGATGGTGCAGAAGGCCCTGGCTGAGGAGGGGGTAAACATGGCACACACACAACCTCACAAAAAAATAATACTAAAAGCAACACAAACACAGCAACAGCCCTAAAAAGCAACCCTTCAGACTTTATTTGCTGCACCACCATATTTAAAAACACCAGCAGTTTGCAATTATAGGCTATTTGTCCCCTCTTGTGGACAATCTTTGCACTGCACTTTTAATTAAATCGTCTGTGTATTGTTATGTTTTTCTTAATATCATCTTCCATCTGATAATTAAAGCACAGAAAGGGTTAACACATTAATAACTCAACAATTTAATCTTTGATTGCACAATCAAATTGTCATAAGTTATTTTTTCTATCATTATATCACCAGTGAAGAACATCTGTTTATTAAGGCTTTCTTTACAATGTTATTCATATGTCATTTAAACTTTAAAAAGGGGTTAATATTTTATTTAAGTATTCATACACAGATAAAATAAAAATTCAAGAAAAAAATGAATTGTATCTTACTTTAACTATATTTATTACTTAATTATATCTTAATTAAAAACATACCTATATATATACACATACATACATACATGTATATATATATATATATACACATACATACATATACATATATATATATATATACACATACATACATACACATATATATATATATACACATACATACATACATATATATATATATATATATATATACACATACATACATACATATATATATATATATATATACACATACATACATATACAAACATCTATCTATCTATCTATCTATCTATCTATCTATATATATAGATAAACAGAAAAGTTAAACAGAATTGAGACTACGGCTATATTAAATATATATCTGGTTGAAACATTTATTCCTAAGGGGTGAAAATAGCCCCTGCACAACACTTTTGAACAAATAAATAATTCCCTACAAAATAATGAAAAAATAAACATTTTTTTTATATAAGTCTGACTCTTAAAATAGATTTAGGCCAAAAACCACACATGATTAATTAGGCTACATTATAATCTGACCTTGCTTATACATTATGCTATGTAACATTTAAAAAAATCTAATAAACTGATTGATGAGTACATTTGAACAAAATTCAAATTTTACCAAAAAGGATTTAGCAGGATAAGTTAGTAAACTAAATAAAGATGCTTTTCTTTTTGTTTTTCTTCAAAACAATACTTATTCATATAAGAAAAACAGGGTTAGTTTTATATATTTTGTCCATCAGGTCATTTATAAAACATTGATATTATTCAAGTTAAGGGAAGAGGAACCATTCCTTGTTTTATTTATTTATTTATTTTTATTTATTTTTTTCATTTCATGTATCCAGGCAGAGAGTGGGGATGAGATGTCCCCCGTCTCAGCTGACTTTCTTCCAGATCTGAGTGCAGGACAGAGGACGTCTGTGTGCTCCACAGGGTCAGAGGACACCACTCCCAGCCCAGTGAGCCGCCAGCTCTCTGCCAGTAAGTCTGTGAACTTTAACATCTACATCATCTTCAAGACTCCTGTGGGAACCTGGACTGGAAAGCTTGAAAACAAAATCAGTTCCTTAAAGTTTATCTATGGCTTCAATCAAGCACAACCGAACAACGGTGTCTTTTTGTAAACAGAAATACGGTAATCATTAGAAATCTTTACTGATCTGAAACAGGAAACATTTAAACTGATCAAATGTCAAACAGAGCAATAAAGTGTGTCTTTTCACGCAGGTTACATATAAAATCTGGTCTCAACTGGACTCTGCGTGGGAATCTAACCTTTCTTTTGCATCTGTTCTCATCAGGCAGCGACAGGCAGAGCTTGGACAGTGGTTACAGCCAGCGGGACAGCATGCGGCTGGAGGACAGCTCTTACAACGGGCCATTCTGTGGACGTGCTGTGGTCCACACTGACTTCACTCCCAGCCCCTATGATGTGGAGTCGCTAAAACTCCAAGTGAGTCTCCAAGAAGGTCCTCACTGTTTGATATATGGCCTTCAGCTAGGTCTGCTGTCTTGCCTCATCCTCCTGGGAACTTATTAGCTCTGTAAAACAAGACGGCTAAATCTGATTATTATTCTGTAAAGCAAGAATGAAAACTGCAAGAGCCAATGCTGTCTGCATGCTTTACTATACTCTGGTCGGTTAGAAGAAATAAAAAACATGAGAAACAGGTTTTTAGTTATTGTTTTTTAGCTTTCATGATAATAAAACTTTTTAATACTTTTTACAGAAAGGTGACATTATCTACATCATCGACAAACCGCCTGTGGGAACCTGGACAGGAAAGCTCAACAATAAAGTGGGTTCCTTCAAGTTCATCTATGTCAACCTCCTTCCTGATGAGACCCCCCCAACCAGAAGGAAACGATGCCACAGCAAGGGCAAGCAGTCCAAATCCAAGCCCAAAACCTTGGAGGAAGTCCTGGAGAGCATCGGCCTGACGGTAAAAGGAGGAGGACTGGGTACTGACCTCACTGAATCCTTTCCACACAGACTGCTAAAGACTCCACGTTTCTTTTTCAGGAGCTGAGCTCATTGCTGTCCATGCATGGCTTCCAGAGCCTGGAGGACTTCACTGGACTGAAGGAGTCACACTTGAATGAGCTGAACATCACAAACCCAGACCACCGCTCCAAGATCCTGAATGCAACTGACCTGCTCAGAGACTGTAGGTTTAAAAACAACAAAACACTTTACATTTCAAATTAATCAGGATCTTTAGCTGCTATTTATTAACATGAAATAATTTTTTTTAAATCAAGAGAAATTCAAATAGGGTGAAATCTGAAAGCATTGGTTCCGAATGCGGATTCTTTTTAACTGTTTAGTTTATATTCAAAATTAATAAATAAAATTACAGTAGAAAGGTTGACGTAAAAAATAGTATTAAATAGAGACACTACATTTTTAAGTAAGATGATGTATGCACACAGCTTAGTTCCAGTGATTTCAACCAGTTGAGTCTGATTTGGTTAAAAAAAAGAAAGAAAATCAGTTGTTGATTAAAAATAACATTCAAGCAATGACCATCCTAAGGCATAGGCTAACTAAGCTACTGTTAGGAGCGCTAGGACTAGGCTGGTTTTAGACATATTCATCAGTGGTAATGGTTTCAAATAGATGTTATGTTAATCTATTTCTGGGTCAAATATGTCTGTGTTGAAAAGTTAACTGTTACTGAAATAGGCAAACTGTTTTAATGCTCCACCCTCTTTAAGGCACAAACAGACTTCTATAATAGTGGTTAGGGGAGATTTAAAGTATAATGCATGTATGGTTGCAAGGAGTTCCCCAAATACATTTTCCTTCAGCCTCTTATTTTTTAGACTGGCTTCAGCTTTCAACTACTATACTTCAACTATATAAAGTATAAATGCTGCAACTCTTTTTTTTCTGTGAATTTTTTTCAAATGTATTTTCTTTTCTTGCTAGTTTGCATCAATATTTAGATATTTTAATAGGATGTTGGCAAAATGTATTTTTCCTGTTTTCAAATTTTTCCGTTTTTCAAATCTAGACAAAAGTGAGCAGGAGGAGATTCTGGAAACTAATAGAATAATAGAGAATTGAAGTCAACTTACTTAAAAATAATGGTTTACGAATTGCTTCTACATTCTAAGAAAATGTTAGTTTTATGCAAATTAATTTATGACCTAAAAAGTAAGCAGTCGCGGTTAGTAATCAAATAGCAAACAGTACTGAAATTTGGGGATTCTAAATAAAAAGTAAAAGATAAAGAGCATAAAAGGAAACCTTGTACAGCCTGAACTTCAGGCTGTTCTACAAGACTAAAAGGAAGATTGCTTGAATTTCAATAACTAGACAAGATAACAGAGAACATAAAGCAACTAAACAGAACAGATTTTTTTTAGAAAGTATAAATAGCATGTACTTAAAAAATAGGCTGATAGGTAAATACCTTAGCCTACAAGTAAAAGGTAATAAAAAGGTTGAAGACTTAACCAATAGCAGTTTTCCTCCTTGTACAAGTGACCCTTAATATCAACATTAGCTGGATTTTTGAATCAATTTACTAAACCATCTTAATCCTATCTGTATCATGGACCATTTCACACTAAATTCCTTTAGGTAATATTTATAATAAATATTAGCTCCTGATATGAAACAAACTGGTGAGAATTAAATAAGGTATAACATTATAAGTACTGGATATGAACTTAAAACAATGATACCATCTCTCTGAAGCTGAGACAGATATGCATGGATTTCTTTGAAATTTTCTCTACTCTAAAATGACTGATTTTTCCTCTTGAAGCTGAAGATGAGTCTGAACCAGAGGAGGAAGAGTTAGAGGAGGCCTCAGCTGAAAGCTCCAAGGAGCCGAGGGACTCTGGTTGCTTTGAGAGCTCAGAGAATCTGGAGGGTGGCCGTGAGGAGCCAAAGACAGAGGAGCACGATTCAAACCAGGAAACAGAGAAACAAGAGGAAAAGTCCCAGGAGGACCAGGCAGAGGAACTGGAAGCTGTCCAGGAGCAGCTGCAGGAGCTGACAGTGGATGATGGACAGTGATTGCGATGATGGAAAATATGCTCAAACTTTTTTCTTCTCATTTCTGAGAGGCTGTGGATGCCATTTAAAGTCTCTCTTTATCAAAAGAGAGCAGACAATGCCACTTTAATGCAAACATACTGAACAAACAGGGTTGAAATACTGAATGTGTATAACAATGATTTCGCAGCTTGCATACATAAGCAGTCCAGCAGCAAACACTGTTACTAGCTGCTACAGGTGGCAGCATTACTCTGAATTAACTTGCGTTCAAAAACACCATGTCATTTTACTGGAGACGTGCTGTTCTGTATTATAATGTTATAACTAAAGCGTTCAAGGGTTTTACTCTGGGTTCTACCCTGTCTGTCCTTAACGTTCTCATGCTTTAGTGTCTCTTTGGTCCTTCATGAATGTAAACTATTTTACATTTTTTATGTAATGTGAATATCACTGCTATTGTTTTTTTTTTTTCCTGTGACTGTAAATACATTTAATAAAGTTAAATTAGTAGAGTGGTGATAAAGTTGTGTGAGATCTGTTTCGATATCAACGGGAGATTTTCAGTGTTTTCAGCATCTAAACAGCTACATTTTTGGAGCAGATTGAATTAAACACAGGAGGACTGATATTTAGATGGCCTCTGTTGGTGTTTAGGAAGAAGAGATTCATTCTGTAAGTGGTGGCTTACTTTTAGTTGCTGTGTCCCTCATTCACTACACTGTTGGTCAATTCAATTCAGTTTATCTATATAGAGCCAATTCACAACACATGTCATCTCAAGACACTTTACAGAGAAAATTCAATCGGATCATACAGTTAAACTGTTTTCTATCTAAGGAAAACCAGTTGATTGCATCGACTCATTCAGGACTGTTTTTCGTTTCCCATATTCTGCAGGGTTTTTAGGAGGATATCTCTAATCTGTATCCTTCGACACCCTTCTTTGATGTAGCCTTCTGCTAATTGATAACTTAAATCACAGGCGTACATTTCTGAAGGACTGGTATGGACATGTCCCCACCAATAATTTCAATTAGTAGACTATGACAATGTGTGGGACACATTTCTAAATTAGATTTTGCTCCTTTTGAAGGAGATTATTCACTCCACTCATGTAGCTAATAGGGAAAACATCCATCAATTAATCTACATTTTTCTGGGTGGATTGATGATCAATGAATGAAACTGAAATTGTTTCCATATTAGGAAGGCATGATATATTGCTGTTGGCATCAGAATCGCTTGTTATTCATCCATTTTTTTATATATATACCGATATATGTGTATATATATATATATATATACATACATATCTCAATGTCTAACTACCTATACATATCAATGTATTTTGGTTCTTTTGAAATATATGTTTGAGCTAAATATATGTTTGAGCTCATTTTTGGAAAATTTTCCATTCGTGTGGAGTAACTGTAGGTCCATCAGCCGCCACCCGTAGTGTGTCCCCAGCAACTTTAATCACAAAGTTACACCCTTGATCGAAATGTATTAATCTCACACTGAAGAAATTCACCTCTGACTCTTTAACCCATGCTGCCACTGTGCAGCTCTCGGGGAGCAGTGTGGGGTTAAGGGTCTTGTTCAGGGACCCAGAGTGGCAGTCTGCGGGGCTCAAAGTCAGAACCTCTGGGAGCCAAGCGCAATACCCTAACCACTAGGTCGCCACTACCCTACTCTGAGACCTTAAAAGTATGATGCCCCTAAATTTGGCCAAAGCTACACATCAAGTATTGACTGCTGCAGACCGTAATCTATAGCCATTTTCCCCAAGTTGCCAAAAGCAATTTTAAATAACTGAAATAAATTGCTGTGATCCAAAGGAGCAATTTGTAACAGTAGGTGGCAGTGGTGAGGTAATACTAATACATTTTATCAGTACTGTGCTTTGTACCATCAAAGTATTAAAATGCTTACCTTTGCCATGAACAGGGAAAATGCAGGGTGCATCCTGGACCAGTCAACCATTTAACTGAACGTGCCGGTTTCCAGACTGTTTGGAAGACAATTGGATAACTTTTTCACAGAAAACTGCTGCTAATGAAGAACATGAAGCTCCACAAAGAAAGTACCGAGCAGGAAACACAACCAACGAAAAAAGTCTGCTTAAAAAACATCAACTATAAGGACAAAACCTCAATAAGTTATAGTAAGACAACATTGTTTATTTAATGAACACACAAATCATGTAAAAAGAGGAGAAGCAATTTGAATGAAACACACAGAATCACAGTGTTGATACCAAACAGAGGGAACATAAATAATAATTTCATCAAAGTATCGGTATATATAATGCAGTGTAGCTGACTGATCAGAGCATTCAGGTCTGATTTTTGCTTAAACACAGGACTTTTAAATACAAGAGCTGAGTCTGGGCTTCAAACAGTCAGCAAAAGAAAAAAAAAAAAGGTTAATCGCTCCCTTTAAAACACAAACATCCCTTTTCTTCTAAATCCACTACGTACATTCTTGCTTCTCAATGACAACACCAAGCTGTATTAAAATACCTTGCACAAAGTAAAGGAGTTTAGCTTTTAGTGTAGCACTTTTTCACTGGCAGCTTTGCAATTATTGGAAACAATACAACCACATCATGACAACATTTTGGCATTACACAAAACTGGCAAGCTGCTTTTAAAATGTAAACTTTTGCCAGTGTTAGTGGGTCAACAGACTGTATTAGAGTTGTATTGACCAATATCCATTTTGTCATTTAAGCCATTTTTGTTACCAATAAAAAAATGCAATTTATTTTCCCTTACATTCAGCCTGATATTTCGTTAGATTATTTTGGCAAGAGCATTTCTTAAATTTGTCTCATGTTTCACACGACTAAAACCCCTGTTTTTCCCTCTTAAGTCTTTGTCGGTAGATTTGTCAGCTATAATACTTTAGTCTACACAAGTAAGATACACAAACACAAACTCTGTCTTGCATACAACACAGTCACTACTACAGACTCTTGCTAACACCTTCTAAATACTAACATGTCAGGAGATAGAGCTCATCTTTCCGCTCTGATAACATGGAAGCTGTCTGCTGTGTCAGGTGCTGCAGGCGTAGGCGCGCTGCTGGAGCAACTGTCACAGCTAAGATCAAGAGAGACAAGAGGAAGAGTCAAGTTTAGAAGCAGAGGGTGGCGAGAAACAGAAAAACACTAAGGAAGGTCACCTCTGCTTTAATTTACAGAAGATGCTGAAAAATAAACCCCAAATACACTTCTTTATCCATCCTTCAACATGTTTCATCACACTTCTACCTGCTATGACACTATTTACTTAATTGCATATTATACAATTAAATCATTTCCACTTCTTTGTGACGCAGCAACATCTACTTAGCTGATATCTTTTTGAGCACATCAACGATGGAAGCTTGTATCCGTAAAATGAATCAGTTTCTGGTGGAAAACTTTCCAAGATTATTGAAATAAATAAATGGTTGCAGTTTCATTTTGATAAAGATTTAGATGACAATATTTTCAACTTAAGGCTTTTTCTCTGTAATGGAGTTATTTGATAGATTTTTTTGTTGTAAAATTGAGACCAAATATAAGCAGCTACATGGCTAAGCTTAAACTTAGAAAACTGTTAAAATGTGAAAAATACCAAACACTGGCAAATTGTTGAACATTTACAGAAAAAAAAAATGTTTGTGTTGTTTAAGCAGTTTTCTTGAGCAGGGGTTTATTTTCACAAAAAGCTAAACTAGGCTAAACTAAACGGACAAACTAGTTTATTCAACTTTTAATCAGACTAATTGGTTTTAATCTACTGACAACTTGCAGCAAAATAGAGTTCCTAAAAAAATTATAAAGTAAAACTACCTTAGACCCACAAGGTTCATCTTATTTCCAATTTAAAATAGTCAATTATGAGTCTTAAATTTATTTATAGAGGATATTTCAGTGCTTTTTAAAATGAAATGTATATTTTTTTTTTATAAAGACAAAAGAGTTGATGCTGTTTGATTTAACAGATGGCCAGTTGTCTTAGCTTTAGCTTCGCTTAGCAGGAAAAGAAAAAAATGCTTGAATTAATGTTGAAGAACATTAATGAACTTTACACATTGCATTTCCTGAAAATATGAAATATTCTTACTTTACAAAAAACAAATATTTTTGTACAGTTTCTGGGTAATTTTCTTTAGAAGGAAGTTACTTTCATCTAAAGTATACTACGCTAAACTGATCTGAGCTAGGCTCATTTTAAAGACACTGGTTCTCCCAACTTAATTTAAATGTGCATAACAAGCATAACATTTTTTTTTTTATTATTCTTATAGTATCTCAAATATCTAATCATTACTTCAGTTCATCTTAGTTCTCTGACAATACCGCTGGAAACAATTCTTCTCTAGAAAATATTGTTTTTGAAGCGTATAAATCAAAACATATTTGTCAATTTTATTTTTAAAACAGATTAGATTTTTTTTTATTGTACCTCTTAATTAACTGTTGTTGTTCTCACAGTTAAATTAAGTTATCAATGCCTCTAGCCTGACCAGATCTAGCTTTAGGAATAAATTAGTTTAGCTTAAATTTAACAGAAAACATTAGGTTTATGATAAAATAGTCTTTCAAAAAACAAAAATCCAAGAAAAAAACAAAAACAAACCAAACATTACTAATGTGGAGAAATATAAATTATTTTCATTGTCTTGTAGCAGTTTTCTTAAGCAAAAACGTATTTTACACAAAGTTAAAGACGGCAGAAATGGGCGAAGAAAAAGCTAAGTTCAGAAACTTGCCTTTTCTAAAAAGTTCCTTAGTAGCTTCAATCCATTGAAAAACTTTCAGCAAATTGCTAGTTGTTGCCATTTGTTCTTCCAAACAGTAAAATTTCATTTTAGATCTAAGTTTTTATTTAACACTGTGGGAGGATTTTCCCTGTTATCCAACTTGGGTTGAGCTGCATTGATAAGGCACTGTTAATGCGAGTGTCTACACTCTATGGGCCTTTTCCTTCTCCTTAACTCAGAGGCTCAACGTCACCTTTCTAGAAGCCATAACATCACAACACAGCCTTAGCTGCATGAAATAAAATGGAAATACAGGAGTTGATATTGATCACACAAAAGATGCACAAATGCAAATATGAGAGAACAGTACTAAATGCAGCAATATCAGAAGACAAGGTCTGATCAGTTAGGATTTGCACATCCTCCTCCTGCCTGGACATCACATGTATTCACACGACTGCTTATGCCCATTTTTCACTAAGCTGCTTGTCCAGCCTCATATGATTTGCATAGGGTATTTAACTTATGTACAGCAAAGATGACTACTGATTTACCAGATGTTCAGGAATCAGATCCTTCATCTCTGATGCTTGCAAGGAGTATATTTTAACTGGCCTCTGGCCATAAATTTCATTTTACAATTTCAAATGATGAACAAATAAGACTGACAATTAGCGCATGGTCTCCAGGCAGCATCTCTCCTTTATGTCTTTTCCATGCAGTGTTCAGGAGATGGGAAGCTGCTGATTTTCTGATCTATTCACTCCT